AGCCGGGGCATTCCCACATTTCCAACCCCTCCTCGCCGCCCCGGGACGGCAGCAGAGGAATTACCTGCACTCTGCCTCCCTTGTAGAACGGCTCAATCCGCCGCGACACAGAGTAGCTGCAAGGGAAGTGCACGGAGAGGCTGTGGAACGGGAATGAAGGCGGCAAAGGAGCTCCTGCCGGCACAGACCCAGCGCAGCCCGGTCCCAGCCCAGTCCCATCCCAGACGTATCCCGGCCGATCTCAGTCCTGTCCCAGTGCCATCCCGGTCCATCCTAAACCCACTCTGGTCCACTCTGGTTCCATCCCGTCCTACCCCCCTCCCCAGCCGTTCCCACCGCCCCTCACTTGCTCTTGAACCGCACTAAGCCCCCGGCAGCAGCAGCCGCGTCCGTGTCGGCCATGGCTGCGCTGCACGTGGTTCCGGCACTCGTGGTTGTTGCGGAAACGGAAATACTTCCGGCGTCGCCATCTTTGGTGCGGGCAAACGGCTGCCCGGCCGGTAGTGCCACAGCTGGTGTGAGCACGAGGCGGCCCCGAGGGAACCTTAGGTACAGCGGTAAAATTCCGAGATCTCCGTGCCACAGCTGTCCCCGCGCCGCGTCCCAGACATCTCCAGCACAGCGTTCCCTCCTTGCCCCACGGAAGCAGCTTCCTGGGTCCAACCACAGGGAAATTCAGATTTTAAGCCAGTAAGAAAACGAATACACTTGACGCTGAAGCTTTTAAGCGATTCAATTTTTATTGTGCATCAAATATACAGCTGATTCGTTCCAAAGCCCCAGATGCGAGTACTGAGTCATTGTCCACCGCAGCATGCCCCATGCTCTGCTCAACACCTAGTACGGGAGATAAAAGCAGTTCAAACGACCAGCCATAAACTCAACAAGCCTCATCCTCGGTACCTCCCCTGCGCTTATGGGAACATGGGTTTCACTCCCCACACATAGCCGCGGGGAATAAGCTTAATGTTCCCGATGCTGTGGGCGTGGTTATCTCACACAAGGCCACAGGAGACCAGGAGTGATTTTCAGACCGCGCCGGGCACTACTCCTGGACGACCTTCCGAGACCGCACCCCGAGTCTCGGTCCAGCGCAGCAAAGCTATTCAAGGAGACGATGGGAGAGAGTAAGAGAGCTAAAAAGCACAGGACCTACCATACCTACCACGCCGCTCCTCACTCGCCTCCACCCCGCGGAGAACTAAGTACTGCCCACGGACGCTCCAATTATATAGCGGAGCCGCTCACAAGCGCGC